ATATATTTTCATGATTCTTCAAATATTGAAGTACAAATTGATAGAAGACATGATGTAATGAAGCAATCATTAAACAGTAATATGATAAATATTATCCAAAATGTATTAATGGATTTAAATCCTTTTGTAGATACTTATATATCTGCAGGAAATGAGGATCTACAAGATTCTTTGTATTACATTTTAATACATAATAAGTATGGTAAAGATATGAGACAATATAATGCATTATCGGCTAAGAAAGTAGCTGCAATTTGTTTTTCAGATGAAACTATGCATGTAAGAGATATTCTTATTGTAAGACATGATAACAAATTAGAAAGAATATCTGAATTACATGGTGCATATGGGGTGTCACATATTAAAAGGAATTATTTTGCAATTTTTTGAAAAATGAGTTTTTATTAGATTCATATAAATTTTGGCATTATTTATATTTTTCAATTATAAATGAAAGTTGATTTGTATAATGAAAAATAGAGAAAAAATTACACGAGGCTTCCTAAGCCAAAGCACATTACGAGATTACCCAATAATCATCTGTTACCTTTAACTAATCGAAATCATGAAATTTGATTAATCCCGGATTAGTTTAAAAATCAAACCAAATAATTAAACTCAATTATCTCAAAATGATATATATGTCAAAATGGTCCCTTTTAATATGAGATACCCATATGATCCTTTAGCATATACTTTGCTATTTCTACGTGGAGAATATGGTTGACATAAAGAAATATTAAAAAGGGATGAAATTGAATCAGATAATAATGATAATAATGATGATGATTATTATGATGAACCAGATTATTTGTACTAGACTAAACAAAAAATGAATACCCATGCAAAAAAAATTGAAGAAAAGAAAAAAGAAAAAAGAAAAAAGAGCTCTTAAAAAAAAGATAGCTCAATACCCTGAAGCCTCTAAAATCTCTGAAGCTGAAGCTGAAGCAAGTAGTACTTCTATTATTGACTTTGGTACTTTATTAGAAAAAGAATCACAAAGTCAAACAGGATTATCAACAATTTTAGAATCTGCAACTATTAGAAGTTCATCAAGTATGATGAGTC